TGCTCCTGAACAGACAGCTTTTCAACATATCAAAGACTGTCTGAGTGCTGACACCGTCCTGGCCCACTTCACCCCAACGTTGGAGGTGGGAATATCCTGCGATGCATCAGACGTGGGAATTGGCTGTGTCTTGTTTCATAGATACAGCGATAGCAGTGAGAGACCCATTGCCAATGTCTCAAAAACACTGACGCAGACCCAGAGAAGATACAGCCAAATCCAGAAGGAGGCCCTGGCTATCATCTTTGGTCTCAACAAGTTTCACCAGTTCCTGTACGGTCGACGTTTCATCCTGGTGACAGATCACAAGCCGCTGATTGCCCTCTTTGGACCAACGAAGCCAATTCCAGCTCTGGCAGAAAATCGACTGGCCAGATGGGCTCTCACTCTGAGCCAATACGACCACTCCATAGAGTATCGCAAGACATCAGCGCACGGCAACGCAGACGCCCTGAGTAGATTGTCAGCGGGGGCGGATCCTTCCTTTGACAGGGAGGAGACTGGTGCAGACTCAGCAACTATCTGCACCATAAAACTGATCAGCAGCCAAATCGCACCTGCAGACTCAAAGGTTTTAGAGAGGGAAACGTCCAAAGACCCTACTCTGAACAGGGTGATCCAGTACCTGCAAGGCAACTGGCCGAAGAACCTCGGTGATCAAATTAAACCTTTCTACGTTCTTCGAGACTCTTTGTCTCTCGCGAATGACTGCATTTTCTACGGCCACAGAGTGGTGATCCAGGTCCTCCAGATCCTGCACCTGGGGCATTTCAGCATGCAGAGAATGAAACAGTTGGCCCGCACTGCTGTCTACTGGCCACGCATTGATGCCGATATTGAAGACGTCGCTCGACATTGCACAGCTTGCAACGAGCACCAGAGGCTGCCCCCTAAGCAGCCGTCTCACCCATGGATCACCCCCAACGAACCTTGGAGCCGCGTCCATATTGACCACGCCATCAACTTCAGAGGTCACAACTGGCTGGTCATGGTGGACGCATTCTCCAAGTATCCATGCAACCACCTCATGTCCTCGATTACAACCAAGGCGACCACCCGGAGACTCGACGAGGACTTTGCTCACTTTGACTATCCACACACCATTGTGACGGACAACGCCACCTGTTTCTCGTCAGCCGAGTTCCAGACCTGGTGTGAGCAGCGGGGCATTCAACACCTGCACGGAGCCCCCTATCATCCGGAGATGAACGGAGCAGCAGAGAGACTGGTCCAGACTTTTAAGCAGTCTCTCAAGAAGTCTGACTTGCCTCCCGCCGACGCCCTTCAGGCGTTTCTCATGCACTACCGCCGCACACCGCTGGCCAGTGGTAGCACACCGCTGGCCAGTGGTAGCAGTCCCAGTGAGCTCCTGAATGGACGTCAGATCCGTACGGCGCTCGACGTCATCATCCCAGCGCAGAGGCAGACAACACCCCGAGTTCGAGATGAGCCGGTACCTGCTCGTCGTCTCAGCAAAGACAGTCCATGCTTCGCGCTTACCTACAAAGGTGGGCGTAGGGACAGATGGAAACTAGCTGTGGTGACCGCCTTCCTGGGTCACAAACTCTACGAGGTCCGTGTGCTACCAGACGGCCCGATGTGGAGACGACATGAGGGTCAACTTCGCCCTCGACACGCACGTCACCGGCCGTGACAGATACATATTGTGAACTTTGACATTTCTCTGGTTGTGATTGCTTCTGGGAACACTTTAGTCTTAAGATACCTTCAGACTGAAGGGGAGGTGTTATGTAAGGGAAATAATTAGACCCGCTCGTAGTTCATTCCCTTTGCAGGACATTGGCTATTAAGTTGTTTCCCCTTTGAAGAAACACTTCCATGTTGTCATTTTCATATCATAATATGTCATGTTTGTATTTCATATTCTTTGCCACCGTTTACCATTAGGCTGGTGTTGTATTATTCTATGT